GCAGCTTGCATTTTTTGTTATTTTTTTCACCCCTTCTAAACTCGAACCCACGTGAAGGTTTATGTGAAAGAAGATATTGTATAGGACTGGAAAGCCCATCCATTATTAGCCACAGGTTTCGTGCTAAGAAACAATTCTTTTGATGCTATCACGATCCCTTCAATGAAGACGTGATTCCAAACGAGGAGCGCTCCTTTTTATCTATTTAAGTAACATCCAATTTAGAGGAAGGTTTACCAAAGATTGGGTATTGCCTTCTTGATCCAATTATTCTCCAACTGCCACTAAAATCAATTCGTCGAAGATATAAAGAAACAGAAAAGCTAAGTTGACAGAAAAACTTTGCACAGAAACTGATAACAGGATTTTTGTTTCCTGATAAAAATTCCCTGAAAAATAAACTTCATTAAGATATATATATTTTTTGTTTGTTTACTGGAAGGAGAAAGGGACCAAGAGAGAAACTAATCTTTTAATTTTAATGCTGACAAGCATAAATATTGAAAATTTGTAAGTTAACAAGGGAAAAAAATGAAGAAGAAGAAGAAACAAAGAGAACAATTTCTTGTTTAGAAGTCATTCTCTAAATTATGTACGAGCAAACACAGCCTCTTCCAGTTTCTCTAATAAGGTAAGTTTTATTGAATGATACGAATCTTGCGATATATTTTTTGCTATATATTGATTTTCTCGGAATAATGGCAACAAAATACAAATTTCGTTATTGAAAATACAATAAAAATATTTATTAATAAGAATAACTGAAAAATCAGAAGATATAAAAGATGAGCTAGCAGAAAAGTATTTGCAAGATTATTTTTATGCAAAATTTTATGCTTGTTTAAAATCTCTTTCCATTTTTTGAAACTAATATTTTCATCATAAGTAGCATTTGCATGTCTTTTCTAAATCTTTCCAAAATTTGGTTTTCTGAAACAAGTTCTTTCTTTGAATAAGAAGGAATTTATATTTCAGAAAGCTTTGAATATTTCTCAAAGTTTAGCTTTTTCCTTCTCTGTCTTGAAAAACACTAGCTAGTTCATCTACAAAATAAACTATGGATTTCACCTTTACCTAAAACATTCACTACTTTCTTTCAAATTTACTGATTTGGCAGTTTCAGATGTAATGCTATTCAAGTGCAAAAATGTAGTTTTTTTTTTTTTTTTTAGAAAAAAATTTTAATTTTTTTTTTTTTTTTTTTTTCTTTTTTTTTTTCTAAAAAAAATAGANTGTCTGATAGTATCGTTCAATAAATATCTGAAATTTCCAGCTTAATTTTACATTTTTAATATGTTTTCACACAAAAATTCTTATTATAAAATCAGAATATTTCGTATATAATTGTAGAAAAAGAAATCAATTTTTTTGTAAATTTTTAAGAATAATAATTTAACTTTTATGTTAGATTTTTTAAATGGCTTGTCAACTGAAAAATGCTTTTAAGTAATTATTTACGCTGACATATTATGGCGTTTTGTTTAGATTATATCTAGCCAAAAAAGAAAAGAAAAAAAAAAACAAACAACTTATCAAAGCAATTTCGTCTATTTCACAGTATTTTAAACTTAAAATTACATTTAAAAATATAGTTAACATTGAAAAAATCGTTAATATTCATGAAATTTATATTTGAAACAACGTATTTCTTTACTTTTAAATAGCAAAAGTGAGCGTAATATATCTAACAATTTATCAAATACAAACTTCTTTTTCCTTATGCTTATTAGTTTTTCTGCGAGATGCCATTTTACTTTTAAATTATCCAAGACCATTTTTCTGAAACTGTAAAACTTTATAAGATATAAAAACCTCGGTATTACGTCTTTTTTCTTACTTTCCTATCGCCTGTTTCGAAAAATTTTATTGTTATGGCTCATATTTTAGTTACTTATGTGAATTTACCCAACCATAACTGTCATCCAAATGTGAAAATGCGGAAGTTCTAGTATCTTGATGCAATCTATTCGGCAAATATTCGTAAGATAAAATTAGACCGAAACAAAAATTCCTTTATTTTCTTAAATCTACAAACTAAAAAAAAAAAAAAAATAAATAAAATCTTAATAAATATAATATTTAAATACAAACAGAAGAAAGACACTCGAAGCGTATTACAGAATAGAATAATGTTCAGAATATAAGTTGACTTATAAAATTTAAATTCTTACAACAAAAATATACCTTAATATTTTATCAGCTAGAGAAATTGTAGTGTGTATAGCGATAAAAATCTTTAAAAAAAAGAATTTATAAAGTAGGAAATTCGATATAAAGCAGACCTTTGTTAAACCGCCGTAGAAAAACTTAACGAGTTAAATCAGCTCATAAGATAAAATGACCTCTTGTAATTCACGAAGTTACGTTTAAGTATTGTGGCCTTGTCATTGCTTTATCATGAATTAACATAGAGTAGTAGGTGCGTGTTGTGATAAATTGCAGGAGTACTTTGCACATATTGCCTTATCTGAACCGGTAGACCTCGAAAAATTGCTTTAAAAAGGCTATTTTATTATCAAAACATTTGAATTCCGTGCAAAAAGTAAGGTTATTTTCCTCCCTTTTTTTCAATTCGAACTTGGGTTGTTGCATGAATTAAATGACCCGATTGACTGTAAACAATTCGATTGTCTGCTTACTTATTGCATCTATCTTGTTATAACAATAGGTAATAGTTAATGAACTAATGATACGATCGGTTCCACCTCTAAAAAAATAAATAAACAACACGAAAAATAAGGTCGTTCACACTTTAATATACACTTCGCGTTAATTGTTTAGAGGTAATAGACAAATGCTTGGCACAAAACAGCCTTAAACAATTGATAAAAAAAATACAACTTTATAACTTCAGCAACTAGGATAAGTTAGTCCAACTCTTTGCAATTAAGTTGACGCTATGTGTGGAAATAAAAGTACGAAAATATCATAAAAAGAGCCATTCGGTTCCATACTAATCTGGCCGACATTGTAATGTGCCCTTTACACTTCCAACAAAAGCTAGGATTTTAGCGATTTTAACTAAATAAATAACCTGAATATTCTACTTCCAATAAGATGTAGAATGATTAAACAGAATTCTTTAAGTGAATATTTCTTTTTAAGTAAAATTACACTGAGGAAAAGAAAGGAAATGTTGGATAATGAAGTCGAAATTGTATCGACAAAGAAGGATGTTTGCTGCCTGAAGCCATCTCATTTATATTAGTTGGAAAAGAGTAAAATATCCGGTGAGAGAGGAAAAAAATTGCAACAATTTTTTACGGAATTTCCACTTTCTGCCTTTAATAGATCTTTTTTCTCGGTTTTAGCCACGTCCATAAAATGAGATCTGTTTTCTACGTTCAGCACACACAAACAGTTGTCTCGGTTTTCCTGCAAGCGTTTCTTCACTTTTCTTTAAATTAAATTACTGTAATTACAGATTAAATCCAATTTTTAACACGAACAAAGTGTTTTTATTAATGCTACAAAATAAATTAACTCATTCGCTATTTGTTAATATAATAAACAAAGCTGACCAATTAAATTAAACGGACAAAAAAATCGGATAGCCAATTAGCATTAAAATCGTTCAAAAATTTAAAAGAATAAATTTCTAGATCGTTTATTGGTTAGCGAACATTTAAACTCTAAGCCCTTATTGGCTATTGTAATTTAAATATTCAAATATGGTATTTTTGAACGTGATCATCCGTTTATGAAAATTTAAATCGATTTTTAAATATTTTTTTCATATATTCAGAAAGAAGCGCCAACTAGAACCGATATAGATATAGACTCGATTCAATTTTCTTAAAAATTTCATTAAGAAAGAATAATGGAAAGTCACTATCTCATCATAAAATCAGTTTTGCATACAATCAAAAATTCGTCCATCCTAGATCCATTTACCTTCTAATATCTGGATATTTTTGCCATAAATTCTGTAACTAAGTTCTTATCTAGTTGTAACCGTCTGTTACGTCCAGAAAGCATTACATCAGGAGAATTATCATCTATCATGTCACAAGAAATTCATTTCGATTATCATACCGTAGCTGTGGAGATTTAAAACTCAAAAAATTGACCATTTAATTCTACATATTACCTGTTGATTTTATATTAAATTAAAAGCCATTATCGTTGTTTAAATAGTGAAAAAAATAATAATTTTTAAAACACAGTTTCTCCTTTATGGTTTTTTCCAAATTATCTTCTAGAATTGTATCATTATTCCTCTGAAGATGGAATGCTGGCAGAATGTTTTTTTTTTTGAGCTGTCTTCCTGAAAAGAATTTCCTGATGATGTCTTTTGGATCATTAGGAAATGATGTTCTTTTGTTACATGTACAAAATGAGGTTTCCAATTTTTATACGTGTACCGAACTATCGATAGCCCCCTACATCGAAATTTCGCATGGAAATAAGATAAAAATAGAATTAAATCGGTATTCGCAAAGAAAACTACGTGAAGATTTATGTGGGTGTCAAATCGAAAATCACGTATATTTATCTTAAATATTTATTTATTTAGCTTAAAAATTTTCCAGGAATATTCTAAAATTATTTAAATTATCTAAAATAGATAGATATTAGGATAAATTTCGTTAAAAATGTCAAAATTTTTTGGTGTTAATTTTTAAATGCTGAATTTTTAGTGAATTTTATATGGAGCATTATGTAAATTATGTTACAACTTTATTCGAAATTTTAGACGTCAGTTTGTACTTTTTTTTTCTTGTAATATTACAGGTTTTTAAATTAAAGGTTCCTTTCAGAGAAACGTGACAGGGAACTTCTCCGAAAAGCAATTCCCATCAAGGAAATTCTTATCTGTGTTCCCTTCAACTTCTTCCGTTTCCTTCCAATGATCAATGTGATGACGTTCTAGATTCGATACCGGATTCCTCGAACGACTTTCGATAACAGATTAACAGCCGTGAACAAGTTAAGGTTTTTACAAAGATAAAAAAAGACATGCTAATGAAAATTTTCATAAAGGTTTCAGAATCTCTCACCTGAGGAAAAATTGGTGTCTGAGGTAATGAAGAGAATCCATGTTCGGGTCCGAGAGTTGGTGAACCACCATCGACACTAACGATCCTTACTCTCATCATGCATCCCCTCCTCCTCATTATCACGGGCAGAACTTCTTCGTAGATGGTAGCTTCCTGAGTTCTGGACCCTCCTTCCATACCATCGGTGGATGATATCGCGTGCATTCGCGACAATCTGGACCGGCATGACAAAAGACCCGATCTGGATAGGTGTTTCGGAGAAGGAGGTGCAGCTTCCAGTGAGCCACACTTAACAGGTGGGAAGGATGACTGGTCACTAGTCATTTCGATCTGAGTTGATGAGAAGAAATATGGTTGACACACTTACACTTCGGATCCATTGACAGATATAGTTTACGAGTAATATACGGAGAGATCCCCGTAATTGGTTGATATGAAAACGACACGTGGATAGAGGAAGAGAGAATGCCGTCAGCACTGCGGTACGTCTCTCGAATCAATGAAGGAAGTCCTAGTTCCTTCGAGCACCACTAGGGGAGTACTCGACAGCACTTCATTTTTAAACATATAATTAACTGAAGAAGACGCGAAACCATTCAACAATATCCAGATTACCATTTGATGAAAGTTTTGCCTAAGAGCCGAATTCTTTCCACTTTTAACTTCATAAATCTTAATAATTCGTCTTTCAATCCGATTTTAATCACGGAAGTTTATTTTTAAAGAGGAAACCTCATCGATTATTCTCGGATTCGACTAATTAAAATAAACAAGGAAAATCGACACCGGTTACAAAATTTGCAAAACAAATGACGTCCAATTAAGGTAAAGCCTTTTGGCCATGTTCTCCTGACAGACATTCTTACGGTTCCTGACCGCCCCAATGCCAACGACATCATAAAAATGACAGCGTAAAAATAAACTTTAGCCGAAAACTTGGCACTCTGCCCATTTTAAACCATCTGACCTCCTTCTCCAATTTTGTCCTCCCCAATGACGTCACGTTGCCAACGTTGTTTTGTCTGTTTCTCCGGGGAACACTCTTTTTTGTTACGTACTTTAAATGGATTCTCGTTGCTCCCTCCTCAAACTAACTGTGGTCATTTATAAGTGGACCAGTGCGCTTGCTCGTTGCATTTTACTTTGAACCTTAACGGCCGTGTAATCAAGTATGAGAGATATTTATGAGTTCTTAAAGGTGATGGTGCAAAAGAAAAATAAAAAATAAAAAATAAAAAGTTTGAAAAGTACTAAACCTCAAGGCTCCTTTTATAAATAACCTCCCACAAAAATATCCTTAAATTTATTATTATATAGACCCCATAATGCCGAAACTCATCGTACGAATACCTTATTACCTGACAAAGGTCAGGTACTAGGAAGGTCTTGGATCGATAGCATCCAGTTGTATGATATTTTCTCTATTTTTCTATTCTAGTTTATCTTTTCAAATGTTTTTATCGTCCACGCAAAACATATAAATAATACAAGGGGGAGCTTTACCTATAGGGACGAAACGCGATTATCGAACATTACGTTGGTTTTTTTCTTTCTTTTTTTTTCAAAAGGTTGTACGGTACTCATCTATCTTATTTAAACGGTGTATTGGTATAAAACAGGATAAACTTTGAACTCTGAGTGATAAATCGCGTGCCATGTGCGGAATTATGTATCATAGTGTCAGATGATAATTCTTCAAGAGCACGATACTTGTTTTCCCCCAATCATCGGAAAACCGTTACGAAAAACGGAGAATAAATTTTAAATTTCTAGAATGTTAATATTATGTGTTTATTAAGTAGGAAAATTAAAGTAATATACAGAAAAATTAGATTAAAAATATATCTTTTGTGTATATTATAAAAGGGAATTTCTTATGGCGCCATCTGGATTTGTCGAAACGAATTAATATCGATTTATAACATAAAATATGAAGTTAGTGGCGCCATCCAACATTAAATTTCTTAACTAAAAATTTCTATTATTAAAACTGTAAACTGTTAGATATTGCATACAATAATATACTTACTCAAAATATAAAATATTTTAATTAATATACCGAATTACAGAAAATTATATTAGTAACTTAGATTTTAAAAGGAGCATTCGATTTTCTATAACCAATCATTAATTAATTAATTATTCATATATGTGAGCGCTTCTGCTTTAATAACAAATAAAATAATTTGTTTAACTAAATAATAATTAAATAAAATATTATAAAATAGTTTTTGTTTTTATGAGTTAAATTTAGATAAAACAGCTATTTTTATTCGCCATACGAATCAAGATAGCGATCAGTGAAGTATTAATATAAATTCATAAAATGGCAATTTCGCTACACTTGTAGATTTAAAAAGTCTGTGATAAACTTTTAATCTCTTTCGCCATCTGCCTTTAACATTCGCAGATGTTTATCTAATCCTACAATTCAAAAGTTTAATAGACAAGTTTGTATTGCTATAGGACTGATTCGTAAGCAATTTTGGCGAAGGCACTCATAAAAGGAACCCCTAAAGTGCTGTCGAGTAAACAAAACAAAGATTGCTGAAGAGCGCGCAATAAATCCTCCGAGATTCTCTTAACAATGACGAGAGAGAGAACTCTAATGAACTCTTAGAACGGTTGGGATCATTGATCGGTACACAACACAAATATTGTGCAATATATATCATGTACTGTACAATAAGCTTATATCCATTTAACTCACGCATCTGACTAATTCGAGTGAGCTAGATATTGGAGAAATTTCATACATGACTCACGAACCCAGAACCTGACCAAAAACCCAATGAATTCCTCCCCCGCAAAAAACAACAAAAATATTCGGATTTTCGGTATTAAATTGAGCAAAAATTTTAGTGAAAAGACTAATAAAATTCGGTCGAAAAGTGATTTCTATTCTACAATAGGATTCATTCCGTACATTTGAATTTCAAAAGTAGCGTTAGCTCTTTCTCAATGCATTATGGGATTTGTTGTAGATAATAACAGTTATTCATTACTAGAAAATAGAAAAATACTTTAATACTCGAAAGAGACTTTAATATCAACGAATCAATATATTATAAATCGTGCGTAAGTTTGAAAATTTGTACATTACATCAATTTCATTTATGCGTAACCAGATGGCGCCGTAAAAAATCGTATTCATTTTTTTAAACTATCGATTTTATTTTATTTGTAACGAACTATAAAAAAATTAATTTAATTATATTAGCTACAAACTACTCATATTAATATTTATTTTTAATTATAATTGAATATTTTCAGAGTTATTATCAAAAACTGATAACTTTAATTAAATTTATCTTTCAAAATAATTTCTTCATAACTCTTAATGATCGTTCTACTAGTCCAAATTCACGACGACAGATGGCGCATCGTCTGAAGGGTTTGCTATGATGATGTCATCCGGAAATCCTCCGGATTGATTTTATGAATGATTAAATTAACAATTTTTCATTCTTAAATTATACGATTCGTCAGCTTGGCGAAAGGAAGAGAACATAAGCTGATTCATTAGACATTAGAATATATGATCGAGGACATCTTTTCCTCTTTATCCCGAGCAGACAGGAATGAAATGATCCTAGTTTGTTCGGTAGGAGGTAAAACTGTTAACATGAATAGAAATAAAAAAAAATAAAAATAAGCAGTTATTTACCTTTTTAGGAAGTCAAAAAATAACCCCGGATCTAAGAGCGCAAAGGTCACGCATTATTCTTTCATAAAATTCAGGAAAGTTCAGCGAAATTAATTATTTTTCTATTTTTAAAACTACTCCCATTAGAAACCTTTTAAACTGTTTAATATTTTAACCTTTTGAGATCAATTTAATGACATTAATATTTAAATCTAAACATTTTCCTCTAGATAAAAGCCAAATCATTGTAATTTCCTGAATCCTCGAGACGTATTTTACATTTTGTTTCTCCCGTAATTAGCTGTCGAGATTTGATTATTTGACACGAAATTCGATTAATTTCTGCACGGAATAATTAGAATTTTTTATCTTTATTTTTTTTTAAATTTTCACTAGAAAATAAAATTCCTAACTTTATGCTAAAGAATACAACATCGAAACAAAATGGCGAAAAATAAAAATCTTTTAAAAAATTAATATTTTAACCTAAATTTATGAGCGCAAAAAAGCCAAGAAATCTTGTAATTTTATGATAATAAATTATCTGATATTTTATCTTTTAATTCTATTTTTTTAAGANTTGTAAAGCTTGCTGTTACTTTGTTTAAAATTAATTTTACTTTAGTTTCATGTTACGAATTTAATTATTTTTAAATAATTAGAAGACATTAAGTATAAAACCCTGATATTTCTTTCTAAACTAACTTAGTACCTCCTCTTTTTTTTAAGCAATTTATGTTCTAGATTAATTTTTGAAGTATTTTCTACGAATTTACCGGAATTTTATCGGTGTAATGAATGGTTTTATAAATGTTTAGCTACAAATTAAATCCACGTTTCCAAAGACTTTTAATGGGTTTTGGATTTAATTTAGAAAACCTTAGGAGGAATTTTAATGATTTTCATATATCAAAACACTCGAAATAATTAAGTCCATTGTTAATAAACTGTGTAAAGACTTTTTACAATGTATTTCTCTTAATCACTTTTTAAATCTAAATTAATTGCTTACGCTTTATTACGATTAACATTTTTAATTAAACATTTTAACGTCGGCATCAAACCGATGAAGTAGATTTTATAACAGTTTAATCGCTGTGATATACGAGCTTTAAGAGGTAATAATTTAGTTTCTTTTTTTATTTTTTGTAAGTTGTGTTTCTGTTTGATTCAAGTTTAACTCGTACTTCCGGGATTATTCGAAAATTCGAAACCATTTTTTGTAACTTGATATCCGTTGCTCGATTATACGGGCAATTCTAGAGTTCACAGGTTAAAGGTATGAGTAATACTTGACTAGTCGTTACACAAAACCGGAACTGGTTCGTAAATTTAAGGTCGGAAATTGGATTAGCTGGTTTCTTTTTTGTACACGTGACCCAAATAATAATAATCATAAGTGTTGTTCCATAAAATTTTGCTTTTGATAAGTGATATATTTAATAATAGGCGGACGGCATTATTATCTGTAGGATGAATAAGATTATAATTCTTCACCCTTGATAGAATGTTGAAGGATTAAATATTTAAAAGTTCATGGACCTAAACTGCTGCTTTAATAGAAAATAAATATATTCTGAAATTGCTAGAGAATGTCAGCATTTTCGTAACTGGAGTATTTCCCTTCAGGTTTACAAATAATTTGGCTGTCTAGACGGAAATTTCCTGACATGAGAAAAGAGCCGGAGGCAAAGGGCTCAGAGCAACGTTGCCTAATCCTCATGTCGATTCCCTCTGTAATCTTATCCTACACATCGCTTGATGACAGCTTCAATTTTTACATTTAATTGAGTAATGCAGACAGCTTTCCCGAAGAATTATCTAGAAATAATTTCGCTTTGTTAACTTATTTCCTTCTTTTTTTAATTTCAACCATTCAATAAACTTAAATGTGGTGACATTTATATAAGAATAAAAGGCCCAGTAAAGGTTTAGAGTGAATGACACACCAAATAAAGGAGTGAGTTGGATCAATATGTTCTTCCTTAGACATGTCAAGTCTGTCAACGAACAAGAGGAGATGTAATTACTCCATTCACCATTTCTGCCTCTCTAAATTTCTATATTTTCTGATAAGAAGACAAACAGTCTATTCTCCGATTATCAGAAAACATTACAGTTATTTAATCAGATTTATAAATATTATGCACTTCCTCTTTGTTCGCGTATCAACATCCAAAAAATTCAGCAACTCGATTCTTAATTAACATATCAAGTAAATTCTTAATTACGTTTAAAATTTTTTTGTATTAAATGTCTTTATAGTTTAAGTGAAGACAACTCACAAAAGGTTGCATATGTAAAAAAAAGAGATAATATAAATGGCAAAACTTTCGAAGGGAATAACACAAAATGTTATCAATTATCCATTTGGAAACGAATTCCACTTGGACAATCATTTTTTATTCACTTTCTTCGATGTTCTATTAAAAGTAATTCTTTGAATTGTTTTGCGTTCTTCTTTTATCTTGGGGATAGAAACGGAAATTGGTATCTAGGCTCTTAACTCTAACAAAGAACGATCGAAGTCCTCAAAAGCTTGATAGACAGCATCGTGTTTACTTTCGACTCTTCTACCTCAAAACCCACCTGATTCCACTTCAAGAGATGCTCGCAATTCGTTTATTTTCCTTTCTTATATACCGATTTCATACAGATACCGATCTAATCCCTATAAAGCAATAGAATCGATAATAAATTTCAATATACAAAAATTACCTGTATTTCGTTTTCCATATCTTTAGCTAGTCGGACGACGGTCATGACCCGCTCACGAGTTTCTGGTTTTTCTACACCATATTTACACCTGAGTATATCATCGCTGAGAGTGCAGAACTGTTCTAGTGGCATGTCGGATGGCACGATTCCGAACAGAACCTCCTCCAGATGATGTTCGCTCATAAATGTACCAACTGTGGATGTTCCGTGTGGAAATCTCTTCGCCGAAGGTGGCAAACCATATCTAGATAGAGGAGCCGAGGATGAACGATTAGCAAACGCTTCCCTCCTGGATCTCCTCCAGTATGTGTGGTCTTCTCCCGATTCCGTCATCTTTTTTTCATTTAGTCTGAAAAAGACATTAATGTTCACATCATTCTTTTTATAAAAAACGGCCTTTAGAATATTTTTAAAAATATTCTAAAT